AAAAAAATTTAAACAATTGTCATTGAGCATTTATAAAACAACAACGAAAAAACATCACAAATAAATAAAACTATAATAATAATATGATTCTTTGAGAATTAAGTGATTTTTTTTTAACTGAAAAAAGTGAGGAGCTCTGTCTATGCAGTCACAATCGCGCACCTGATCACGCCACACGCTATAAAAATAACTGCTATCTGTCACATTATAAAAAATCCTAACAAAAGCTCTCGTTTATACAGGCTTTATATTCTTCTTTACTTACAAAACTATGGGTTAACTTTCGTCCAGCCGATAAACAAACACACAAAAAACCCAAATAGCCTAAATAGTATCAAATCCGAATAGCTTAATAGGCTGTATTTTGGAAGGCATAAAGGTTTATTTTCGTTTTGTTGCATCATTTAGGCTATTTTCAAATGCGTAAAGTGCACAAATAAAAACGAAAAACATATTAAGAAAACACAATCTATTGAGTCAGCATGATATAGCTGTTAAAAGGCTGCTCACGTCTTTTGCGCGCTCAAGTTCGATTTGGAGCAACGCGATCGCCTCCTTCCACAGTCTTGTCGTCTTTGTTTTACAAAAGATTTAGATTTCTTGGACGGTTCCCGAGTGTATTATGTGTGTGCGCTAAAACTGTGGCGCTGTTACAAAAATAGCCTAAATTAAAGCATTTAAAGTTGGGGATAAAACATAGGCTAATTAAATGTAGAATACAGTAATAAATAATTGCTTATAAAGGAATAAATATCAAGGAGTGAATCATTAAAAAAATTATTTTTATCGGTAAAAAAAAGAAAAAGAATATAAAAAGTAACTGGTCGACCAATAAGAACGTCAGTCCACCAAGACGGCATCGATTGATTAGTCGACTAAACGACTAAAGTTGACAGCCCTAGAATTAACACAAAGTGGTCGAGCGTCAAACTGGATGCGCTGTTTGCGTCCGGTGTGAACGTAGCATTATGCTTTTCTTGTGGTTACACACACTGACTTTGAGTCTTCTGTTGACCTCATGTATATTTGATCTCACCTGAGCAAAGACTCGCTGTTGCTGATGCTGATGCTGATGCTGTTGCCAGGCAACGGAGCGCCTCATCTATAAGTCTGACATCATAGAGGGATGATGGAGTGTCACTGAGGTTCATGTGGACTAAAGTGTGTTCTGCTGTTGTTTAGGTTTTGTCTGATGGTAAAGAAGGGCTACAGGGACCCTCCGTATCACAACTGGATGCACGCCTTCTCCGTCTCACACTTCTGCTACCTGCTTTACAAGAACCTGGAACTAGCCAACTACCTCGAGTAAGACCACACACACACTGATTTACTGAAGACGACGCTGCTGTTTGTGTTTTCTGAGTGTGTGTGTGTGTGTTTCTGGCAGAGATATAGAGATCCTGGCACTGTTTGTGTCCTGCATGTGTCACGATCTGGACCATCGAGGAACCAACAACTCCTTCCAGGTGGACTCGGTACGTCACACACACACTGCAGATCGAGTCGAGTGCTTGAAATGTTATAAATGAAAAGTGTTTTCTGCATTTATTGTTTTCTCCAGCAATCCGTCCTGGCGGCTCTGTACAGTTCAGAGGGATCTGTCATGGAGGTACACACACACACTGTTGACATGCTGATATTCATACTCATAATGACGGGATGGGCAACGATTAATCGCGATTAATCGTATTTAAAATTCAAGTCAAGTCACATTTATTTATATAGCGCTTTTCACAATACAGAGTGTATCAAAGCAGCTTCACAGTGATAACATGAAAGTAGTACAACACAGATAATATTCAATAATATTGTTAAATATTAAATATTAAATAACCCCGAAAATAAAAAAAATAAAAATAAAAGTTTGTGTTTAACATAATATATGTGTGTGTAGTGTGTATAATTAATCTGTATATATAAATACACACACATGCATGTATACATTTAAGAAAAATGTGCATATACATATTTATTTACAGTTAATATTATATATAATTATAAATATTTGGTATTTTGATAACACGTTTTTCTTAAATATATACATGCATGTGTGGGTATTTATATATACAGATTAATTATACACACATATATTATGTAAACACAAACTTTTATTTTGGATGCGATTAATCGTTGCCCATCCCCAGGATTATTTTAGTGTGATTGAGATGCTATTATAGTATTTATTGATATTTTCAATTAGTTCTTTTAATTTTAGTATGTTTTAGTACTTTTGAGTTTTCGTCTATTTTATTCATTTTGTATGTATAACTACTTTTGTTTATTTAGTTCTAGCTATTTTAGGACGATCCCTTTATATTTTATTGGTTATATTTCAGTTATTGTGTCTAATAACGTTAAAGCAGTGTTTTGCGCAGTTGTTTCACAGTATGTTAATCACTTCACTTCATCTCCTGATAGTTCACTCTCCTCCACGTCATCCGAGATGTTCATGTCTTTCTTTCTTCAGTGGAAAAGAAATGAAGGTTTTTGAGGAACACACTCCAGGGTTTCTCCATATAGTGTCTTCAATGGGGTCAAAGGTCAGATGTGAGTTTCAGTGCATCCAGCCGAGGAATAAGAGTCTGATCTAGAGTAGACAAACCAGCGACATTTACAACAAAATACACATTTATATACTTTTATCCAATAATCATGGTCTTGCTCGAGCTGTGATGCGACACATATTATGTTATCAGGGTGAAAGGTCAAGCGGGACGTAGGCGGAAGACACAATCCTGGAGTGTGTTCCTCAAAAACTCCTTGAAGAACATCTCAGATGACGTGGAGGAGAGGAAATCATCAGGAGATCAACTAATCCTTTAAAGCCACACTGAAGCTGTTGCTGTGGTTGATTGACAGATGAGTGTGTGTGTGTGTGTGTGTGTGTGTGTGTGTGTGTGTGTGTGTGTGTGTGTGTGTGTGTGTGTGTGTGTGTGTGTGTGTGTGTGTGTGTGTGTGACAGATCTTTGAAGAGTTTGGTTCATCACACTTGTGATCGTCTGCTGCCCTCTGCTGGTCAACTGACTCAAACACACTCAGTGACTCAGTGTGTGTGTGTGTGTTTCAGAGACATCACTTCGCTCAGGCCATCGCGATCCTCAACACACACGGCTGCAACATCTTTGAGAAGTTCTCTAGAAAGGTGAAGCTTCTGCATCTTGTTTTGTTTTTTCTGGTTTAGAAAGGAGAAATAAATCATTCTACGGTCGTTCTTATTAAGACTGAGCTCTTAAAATTAGCTATACTGTGTAGTTTTAAATTTGTTTATTTATTTTTTATTAAATCTTTATCATCTTTTTTTTGTGCATGTTTGTATCTGGTATTTTATCATGATGTTTTTACTTTTTGTAAAGTGAATGAATTGTGCTATATAAATAGACTTGTTGTTGTTGTTAAAGCAACAGGTTTTATTTAGCTAAGCAAAATAAATCCATTGAAAAGCAACAAGCATACATTTACGGCACACTTATGCTGTTGGCAATCTGCCATGTTTCATTGCGTTATCACAAATACAACAAGCACAACTGCGCAATATGCTTTCAAAATCTTTAACTAATTGCGTCATCATATAGTATTTTACGGAGGCGTATTGCATTCACTTGAAGAAAAAAAAAATCTACTCTGTTTTTCTGAATTAATGAGTTAATTTTTCATGAGAAAAATTATTTTTCTCTGTTTTTCTGAATTAATGAGTTAATTTTTCATGAGAATTTTTTTTGCTCTGTTTTTCTGAATTAACGAGTTAATTTTTCGTGAGAAAAAAGTTTTTGCTCTGTTTTTTCTGAATTAACTCGTTAATTCAGAAAAACAGAGCAAAAAAAAAATTCCATGAAAAATTAACTCGTTAATTCAGAAAAACAGAGCAAAAAAAAAAAAATCCATGAAAAATTAACTCGTTAATTCAGAAAAACAGAGCAAAAAAAAAAAATCCATGAAAAATTAATTTATTAATTCAGAAAAACAGAGCAACATATTTTTTTTCTCATGAAAAATTAACTCATTAATTCAGAAAAACAGAGCAAAAAAAAAAATTCCATGAAAAATTAACTAATTAATTCAGAAAAACAGAGCAAATTTTTTTTTCATGAAAAATTAACTCGTTAATTCAGAAAAACAGAGGAGATTTTTTTTTACTTCAAGTGAATGCAATACGCCTCCGTAGTATTTCACTTTAATATGTAATTCAATAAATTTTTTAAGTTTTCTTAACTTTTACTGCGCCATTGCTGCCCCATGATGCTTTGCTCTCTGCGTTCCAGGATTATCAGCGGATGCTGGATCTGATCCGAGATATAATCCTGGCCACAGATCTGGCTCATCACCTGAGGATCTTCAAGGACCTGCAGAAGATGGCCGACGGTGAGACGCCAGTGTGTGTGTGTGTGTGTGTGTGTGTAGAAGACGCCACAGGATCTCTCTCCTTTCCTGAAATGTGTCTTTTTTAAGGTGTATTGTGTAATATTTGACAGATTGGTTGACCGAAATGAGCATGAATGAGCATTTCTCTCTACACACACTGCGGGTCGCCTCATTTTGACATGTTTCTATGTCCATGTTTCACTATGTTGTTCTTCATGCACAGAAGCTGTAGCTGAAGTCAGCCAATAAAACACCGACACAATGATGAATATAATATTTGCAATAACATTATTTACTGAATAATAAAATAAACCTAATTTCATCATTTATCTTTGTAAAGAAACCTCAGTGCTACTCTCGGCTGTCTCAGACGATGACATCACTTCCTGTCAGCCATCATAACTTCTGTTAAGTGCAGTTCGCAACCTCACCACTAGATGCTGCTAAACACTGCAGCTTTAATCGATATGACACGTTCCACCTGTATTGTCAAAGCATTTACAGTCACAGTATCAAATAGGTTCATTTTTATATTATAAAAATAATGTTACAAGTCATTTAATGTGTTCTAAAAAATAAAAGTTGAATAAAAAAAATCTAGCGCTGTGAGTGTGATGTGTCGTGGGTATTTTGAGTAGCTTCTCGCTGATCTTAAACTCAAGTATGATATTCAGTCAAGAGATCCGAGTGATTTGTTCACCAATAACAGAAGTGTAAAATCACTCCAGAGCACGGAGACGACGTCATTTTAACTAATGAAATATAATACCAGTGCTGCAAAATAAGCTAAAGAAATCCCCGAAATCCCTGTCTCTTCATGATGTGTGTGTGTGTGTGTGTGTGTGTGTAGTTGGATATAACCAGAAGAATCAAACACATCGCAGTCTGTTGCTGTGTCTGCTGATGACCTCCTGTGACCTCTCAGACCAGACCAAAGGCTGGAAGACCACCAGGAAGATCGCGGTAACACACACACTTCAGTCACTTACACAGACTCACTTACACTCACTCACTCACTCCCTCACTCACATTGACTCACACACTCACTCACACACTCACTCACTCACTCGCTCGCTCACTCATTCACACACTCACTCACTCACTCGCTCGCTCACTCATTCACACACTCACTCAGTCACTCACACATTCACTCACATTCACTCACTCACATTCACTCACTCACACACTCATTCACTCACTCACTCACTCACTCACTCATTCACTCACTCGCTCACACACTCACTCACTCGCTCACTCACTCGCTCACACACTCACTCACTCGCTCGCTCACTCACTCATTCACTCACTCACTCATTCACTCACTCGCTCACACACTCATTCACTCACACACTCATTCACTCACACACTCATTCACTCACTCACTCACTCACTCACTCATTCACTCACTCGCTCACACACTCGCTCGCTCACTCACTCGCTCACACACTCACTCACTCGCTCGCTCACTCACTCATTCACTCACTCACTCATTCACTCACTCGCTCACACACTCATTCACTCACACACTCATTCACTCACTCACACACTCACTCACTCACTCGCTCGCTCACTCACTCGCTCACACACTCACTCACTCGCTCGCTCACTCACTCGCTCACACACTCACTCACTCGCTCGCTTACTCACTCACTCACTCACACACTCACTCACACACTCACTCACTCACTCACTCACACACTCACACACTCACTCACTCACTCACTCGCTCACACACTCACTCACTCGCTCGCTCGCTCGCTCACTCACACACTCACTCACACACTCACACACTCACTCACTCACTCACTCGCTCACACACTCACTCACTCCCTCACTCACACACTCACTCACTCACACACTCCCTCACTCACACACTCACTCACTCACTCACTCGCTCACACACTCACTCACTCACTCACACACTCACACACTCACTCACTCACTCACTCACTCGCTCACACACTCACTCGCTCGCTCGCTCACTCACTCACACACTCACTCACACACTCACTCATTCACTCACTCACTCACACACTCACTCACTCACTCACTCATTCACTCACTCGCTCACACACTCACTCGCTCGCTCACTCACTCGCTCACACACTCACTCACTCGCTCGCTCACTCACTCATTCACTCACTCACTCATTCACTCACTCGCTCACACACTCATTCACTCACACACTCATTCACTCACTCACACACTCACTCACTCACTCGCTCGCTCACTCACTCGCTCACACACTCACTCACTCGCTCGCTCACTCACTCGCTCACACACTCACTCACTCGCTCGCTTACTCACTCACTCACTCACACACTCACTCACACACTCACTCACTCACTCACTCACACACTCACACACTCACTCACTCACTCACTCGCTCACACACTCACTCACTCGCTCGCTCGCTCGCTCACTCACACACTCACTCACACACTCACACACTCACTCACTCACTCACTCGCTCACACACTCACTCACTCCCTCACTCACACACTCACTCACTCACACACTCCCTCACTCACACACTCACTCACTCACTCACTCGCTCACACACTCACTCACTCACTCACACACTCACACACTCACTCACTCACTCACTCGCTCACACACTCACTCGCTCGCTCACTCACTCACACACTCACTCACTCACTCACTCACTCACTCGCTCACTCGCTCGCTCGCTCGCTCGCTCACTCACTCACTCGCTCACACACACACTCACTCGCTCGCTCGCTCGCTCGCTCGCTCGCTCGCTCACTCACTCACTCATTTCAGTCACTCACTCACTCTCTCACACACTCACTCACTCACTCACTTCAGTCACTCACTCGCTCACTCACTCACTCGCTCACACACTCACTCATTCACTCTCTCACTCACTCACTCGCTCGCTCACTCACTCACTCACTTCAGTCACACACTCACTCACTCACTCACTTCAGTCACTCACTCGCTCACTCACTCACTCGCTCACACACTCACTCATTCACTCTCTCACTCACTCACTCGCTCGCTCACTCACTCACTCTCTCACTCACTCACTCGCTCACTCTTCTGTTGTTGTGTTGCAGGAGTTAATCTATAAGGAGTTTTTCTCTCAGGGTGATTTGGTGAGTTAAACTTTAGCTTATGTTTTCTTGAATGAGAATGATCACATGACCAACGATCACATGACCAAATCACATGTCATTTATTTACCTACACAGCCAGCATGTGATGTGACCAATAATGTCAGTTGTTGCTTCAACAAAATGCTTATAAATCACTGTTGAAATTTCAATAAGATGTGGAAAAGATGCTAAACAGTGTTGCAATATCATCTTGATTCACTGAATAAATATTAAACTGCTGTCCGGGTTTCATTAATCACTAAGCGAAATCTAAAACAATGTATTATTCTTTTACATCATAGCATCTTTTATGCATCAATACAAATGATTGTATTGCCTTAATTTCCAGGTTTACCACCCCTCTAAAGCTTGACATATCACATTTTATTTACTTAAAAAAGTTTATGGAACATTTAGATCAAATATGGGAATCTAAAAAAGTTAGCGTGTGTGTTTTTATGTTTAAATATGATCCATCAGGCTTTTCATAAAGGAAAATGTCATTCATAGACTCAAACTGATCAAAAATATGACGTTTAATGCTGCAGATGCTGACATTAAAACGAAATTCTGAACTTCAGATCTTTATATTAGTACAGCAGATACGCAATATCTGCCAATAATATGTCTTGGTAAGATGATATTTAAATGCTTAGTTTTATTATAAAAGGTGCATATAATGCAATGCAATACAAAGATGATTGACAGATGAATGAATAAACCTTCCTTAAAAGCCTGATGCACATATTCAATGAGTGCAGATTTGACAGAATAAAGACACGATGACGTTTGTACAGTCATATAAAAGACTTTTACTTGATAAAAACACAGGACTGGAGGAGATTGTGTGCGATCATGTTGATCATCAGAGGCGTATCAAACATGGATTTATAGGGTTACACAGATTGAAAGCAGTTGTGTGTTTGTAGGAGAAGGCGATGGGGAACAGACCCAGTGAGATGATGGACCGAGAGAAGGCCTACATCCCTGAACTCCAGATCAGCTTCATGGAGCACATCGCCATGCCCATATACAAGTCAGTGTCCATGCTTATTCACTTTAGCCACTGTTTACATCCATAAATAATTGCATTTTGTCTTGTAATACTACCAAGCATATTTATTGAAAATAGCAGAGGGCCTAGAACAAAGCCTTGCTGCATGCCATAATTATTGACATTATCTAAGATTTTTGCCCGTTTTAAAAAGACAAAATGAATACGGTCTGATAGGTACGATCTAAACCACCTTAAAGCCTGTCCCTGAACACCAGTGTAATGTCTATCTCACTCATGTCAATCAAAGCGTGTTTTATAATCTATAGTCTCCAACACAACACTAGTTTTGAGAACAGCCTTGATAAGTCACTCATAATTTTAACAAGCCCATGATCGGCCCAGAATCCAGACTCAAATTTTTCATATATAATATAGATTCATATATTTTCTTGCTATTTTAGAGGAAAATTATTTTGTATAAAATAAAAAATGGTCATAAGTGCAATAATCTGCTGAGAGTCTTCTCCAGTGCTCTTCGTGTGTCGGTCAAAAATTTCAATGAAATTAATTAAATTATATTTTAGTTTGATAATTTTTTTTTAATTAATATTCTATATTTTTAGGGGATTTTTTAAACTAAATTATATTTATGCTGTATTTATAATCCATTTATTCACTTTTTAACAGTAACAGAAAAAAAGTTGTGTGTCGGTCAAAAATTTCAATGAAATTAATAAATTATATTTTAGTTTGATACATTTTTTTAATTAATATTTTATGTTTTTAGGGGATTTTTTTAAAATAAATTATATTTATGCTGTATTTATAATCCATTTATTCACTTTTTAACAGTAACAGAAAAAAAAGTAACAGAATTTGATGTGTATTGTTATGGAAAATAATACTATGCGTAATACTATTTTCGTCTCATTCATTTCCTGATTTTTGACCGCGAGGAGCACAAGTGTGACTATTGTTTTCAGGATCATTTAACCTTTTCCAAAGATGTCCATGATTTTTTTTTTTTTTTTTTTTTGCATGTGTGTTCACAAAAACCTTTACCAAGTTTCGTACGATTCTGATGAAGTAAACAATTATAAAAAAATAAAGAGTACCAGAGGGTTAAAGAGAGTATTCATAACTCTCATGAGGGATTTATATTCTAAAGCATCAGAAGTTCAATTCTATGTAAGGTAATGTTTTTAAGAACAACAGTTAGCTTCCCTCGTTCTTCAAAATTAGGAAAATATAATACATCTTGAAAACTTAATGCTGTCTTTGTATTGACATGTGTGTTTTTTTTATTATTTTAATAATATTGTAAAGAAGCAAAAAAAAAAAATCCTGTTAAATTTCTGATAGAAAACTGGCAACCGTAAGAAATACATTATGTTCATTATCTGATATGTTAATTTACCGACCTATTGAAGTCACACACAAACAGCTTTTTTACAATAAAGTTAGTAGAAACTGCACAGTGTCATTCACACAAACACCATCATGAAATAAAAAAAATACAGTAAACAGTTTAACAACATTAAATATAACATAAAACCCTAAAGTACATAATTGATTAAAAAAGCTATGAAGAAACATGGTAATTTCAACAAAAAGTGTCACGCAGGGAATTGTGGGAACGTTTTTTCACATTACATTATACAATGACTTGTTCTTTTTCACCTCCAAAAACTTTTACTGTAAAACTGTATTAAATGTACGGTTAGATCTGTCAGAACAGATCGTTTTTTACAGCGTATGTATTTTTCCTCTCGGCTGATTTGTCCCAGGCTCCTGCAGGAACTGTTCCCGCGCTCAGCCGAGCTTTACGAGCGCGTGGCCGCCAACCGCGAGCAATGGGCCAAAGTGTCCAACAAGTTCACCATCCGCGGGCTCCCGAGCAACAACTCGCTGGACTTTCTGGACGAGGAGTTCGAGCTCCTGCAGTCGCAGGGCGCCTTCGGGGACGAGTCGCATCGCATGAACGGGTGCCTGGACGACGACTGCAACAAACACCACCAGTGACATCACAGGTCAAAGGTCAGAGCTGACACGTCTTCGGCTGAACATTTGGACAGAAAAATAGTGTGAATTTGCCTAGAAACTTCAGCGAACTTATTTTGAAAATACTTAGACGCTCAAAGCCGTAGTGAAACGTTGTGTCAGCTGAGAGTTCTAAAGAGAACCGTTACAGTGTTACAATGTTACATTTTTTAGAACTTATTGTTTCAAAGCAGTTTCACAGTAACAAACAGGATAGAACAGAATCACTAATGCAAACTTAATCAAATTAGCTCTAAAAAGTCGTCCAGTTTTCCCGCTGTTTACACGCACCAGGAGAAGCTGAAGGAAAACTAAGCCACACGGAAATTAATGTTTTGCTTGAAACTGATTCAGGCGTCAGATTTCTCCATTCCTGAGATGCGACGGGACTGAGACACACGGATCAGCTGATCGGCCTTCTGAAACTCTCTGTACATACACTCGTGTGTTTTAAAGGGCTACGCGGCCCTCACACTTTTCTTTCTCAGGATGGCAGAATGTGTGCGTCAAATGGATCTTGCCTTACTAAAGTTTGCGTTGCCTTCCTGAGGGACTGTATAAAACATTCAGCCTGTCTGTGCACAGTTCTGGATATATGGGGATATCAGTGTGTACGTGTGTGTTTGCACAGTTTGCCAAAATCTGCAGAGGAACAGGACATGAAGAGGGTGATGATGTCTGTTTTATGAAAAATGTGACTTTGCTTGAACTACTTTCTCTCTCACGGGTTAACCTGCAACAAAGTGTGAATTTCACCATATTTCACCCTAAAATCAAAAGAATAAAAGACATGATATTTTGCTTTAGAGAAATCACAGACGGACACATAGCGATCCGGGCCTCATGTGGATTCCAGATCTGGGCCGACACTATGTTGCCTTCTGGGATAAAGCCTTTTTTAGGACCATTTATCCTGTCCTGACATCATTTTTGTCTATTTATTTTGTTATTATTATTATTGTAGGATTAGTAACAATAAAAAACCCTTGTGTGTGACAGAATTGCGTGATATAAACTCACAATTGTGTGATATAAAGTCAGAATTGCTTGATATAAACTCGCGAGAAATAAACTCAAAATCAGAGTCAGATTTGCATTTTTATATCTCGCAATTCTGACCTATGACACGCAATTGTACGGAGGCGTATTGCATTCACTTGAAGAAAAAAAATCTACTCTGTTTTTCTGAATTAATGAGTTAATTTTTCATGAGAGAAAAGTTTTTTTTAATTAAATTAAATTTTAAATTTATTAAATTAACTCTTTAATTCAGAAAAACAGAGCAAAAAAAATCCATGAAAAATTAACTCGTTAATTCAGAAAAACAGAGTAAAATATTTTTTTTTCTCATGAAAAATTAACTCATTAATTCAGAAAAACAGAGCAAAATATTTTTTTTCTCATGAAAAATTAACTCATTAATTCAGAAAAACACAGCAAAAAAAAATTCCATGAAAAATTAACTCGTTAATTCAGAAAAACAGAGCAAAATATTTTTTTCTCATGAAAAATTAACTCATTAATTCAGAAAAACACAGCAAAAAAAAATTCCATGAAAAATTAACTCGTTAATTCAGAAAAACAGAGCAAAATATTTTTTTTTCTCATGAAAAATTAACTCATTAATTCAGAAAAACAGAGCAAAATATTTTTTTTCTCATGAAAAATTAACTCATTAATTCAGAAAAACACAGCAAAAAAAAAATTCCATGAAAAATTAACTCGTTAATTCAGAAAAACAGAGCAAAATATTTTTTTTCTCATGAAAAATTAACTCGTTAATTCAGAAAAACAGAGCAAAATATTTTTTTTCTCATGAAAATTTAACTCGTTAATTCAGAAAAACAGAGCAAAAACTTTTTTTCTCATGAAAAATTAACTCATTAATTCAGAAAAACAGAGTAGATTTTTTTTCTTCAAGTGAATGCAATACGCCTCCGTACAATTGCACGTATATATCACGCCTTTCTGAGATAAAATGTAAGAATTGTGAGATAAAAAGTCGCAATTACCTTTTTTTATTTTTCATTCTGTGGCTGGAACAAGCTTCCCTATTAATATGAGTCTGAATGTTTAATTGTCATGAAATTAATGTCATAGTGCAAAAATGTTAATGGCCCAAAAAATGTAAGTCATTGATTTTAGATGAAATATGTCCGTTCTGGGGAAATTGTACTGATGTTTGACTGTAAAATGACTATGAGAAATGCATTTCTCTTTAACCCGAAACACGAGAGTAAAACTACTGTTTCAGAGAGCCAGAGATCCTTCACACACCTTCTGCTTCAACATTAAACTAGTCTGAGAGGAAAAACTGAGATATTTATGATAAACCGTCAGTCCACTATTAAAGTTCAATGGAAGGAAACGTTATGGATTTCTGGCTTTTGAACGTTTCATTTTTCTAACGATTTCTGCTGTATTTCAAAGGAAAAAAAACACACATGTTTAAAATAAAACCATGCTGGCCTGGCAGTCAACTTTAAATAATTTAAATGTTTTCTTATAGAGTTTCTTATTTCTCCATTGTATTTTAAGTTGATCTTATTATGACAGATATGATGCTATTGTTTTCTTGTGCAATAAGTGGTTTTTGCGTCGCCTCGTGTACATAACATACGTTTCTACAGGATTACTTTTTACACACACTTTGATTCTATTTTCTGGTATTTGTACACGTTTGTACTGTAGGTGGCGGTAAATAACATTGTTTTTTTTTTGTTTGGAATAAAAACCTTCTCTCGTGTCGTTCATACACGGCTCTTCTGATGGTTTTGATTAAAGGGGGAGTTGACTGCGATTTCACTTTTTTCATTTTAAATAGTGTGTAATGTTGCTGTTGGTGCATGAACAGTATCTGCAAAGTTGCAGAGATATTGTCTTTTAAAAATCAGGAAGTATATTGCCTACAAAAATTACTCAATTGGGACTACAGCTGGGTTTTAGACGTCACTAACCCACACATTTACATCAACCCTCCCTCCGAATATGCAGAAAAGGGCAAGACAGCTTCCAGAATCTCCACGAGTTCAACACCGGATTCAACAAGAAACTGTTACTAAAACATGAAGCAGATCCGACTTTAAAACCAGAGACAGCAGTTGTTGGGTCACAACCTGTAAGTAGACGAAGACTTCATCATTTTAAATGTATTTGCATGTATAATTCCAGACGTAGCCTTGTGTTTTATATTTTTCAAATGCCAGCGCTAGCTTTATAGCCACTAGGCTACTAGTTATGCTATTTTGTATCTACGACAAACGCGTACAAACATTATGGACCTGAATTTTGTATAAGTACTAATGTTGTAAATGTATTTTTCATGTATATATGCTTTGTGTGTGAGTGTGAGTGAACATTTGTTTGTGTGTGTGTGTGTGTGTGTAAGCTCCATGTGTGTCATAGGTCACGCTGCACTAGACAGATGGATGAGGAGTGTAGAGTGAGACACTTTTATAAGAACAGCCGAACAGTCGTTTGCATTTCAGTGTTGGACATTGAAGAAAATAAAACACACAGTGGCTTATGTACTGTACCAGTGTTATTTTAGTAGTATTTATATACTGTTATAAATCTCTCAAATCAGTACTAAATATTAATTGTCTTTTGAGTTTGTTTTAGTAAGAGCTTTAGTCATTTTCATTCGTTTCTTTATATTTAAATATATGTGAAGAGTTCAGATGCAAAAGCCTCTAAGTGCCATTTGAAATTTTCTTCTAGAATGATCATATTTATCAAGCTTGTAAGTAATTTCACTTAAATTGCAATGATAATTACCTATTAATTGTCATTTAAGTGAAATTACTGAACTTGAATATATAAGCTTGATAAAAATGATCATTCTAGGAGGCACTTGGAGGCTTTTGCATCTGAACTCTTCATATATATTTATATATAACTGTAAACACTAGGTTATACTCCAGTGCTGTTTTCTGATTGGTCAACCCCGTGTTGAACTACTTCCTGTTGTTTTTGTATGAAGTCGATTGTAACGATCATAAACACACGCATGTAAAAACTTATTTTCCATTCTCTGTGAATCATGTTTTCAGTGTCCAGCGTCCCCGTAAGAAGGTTGTGTCTCCTCACGTAGTCTCACTCTGAACGCTCTGATTGGTGGAAACCGTCACCCGTCCATGTCACATGACGCATTACATCACTGGATTGAGGTCAGGCCTGGATTAGACCGAGAGAGAATGGAGAGATTAGGAGCTGTTAGTGCTCAAAAACAGGAGGAGAAAGGAAAGAGGAAAAAGAGAACGAGTGAGACACATTGAACATATGCACTCACTCAAACAGATTTAGTGATTTAGTTTGTGTACACATGCGCTTTGTTGTGTGTTAATGGCCCGCTTGTTTGGAAAGAGTTTTTCCAGCTTCCGTGATTTAACATTACTTTCATATTCAGGGATTGTTTTATGATGTTCTTCCTCACTGAAGGATTAAACACCGATTTCTCTGCAAAATAGTTATACAGTTCAATTCAAAACACATAATAACCATATGTTCTATATTGTGAAAATCAGCCACCAAAAATAGATATAAACACATTAGAAAAATAAAATAAAATATGTAATTCATTAATCAAGGCAATATTGGCTAAAAAGTGCAATTGTTCTGAGTGTTGCTGTGATATCATTATACCGGTCCTTTATATATTGACATTATTATTATTGTATAAAATTCATTGGTTTATATTTGCCTGATAAAATGCATCTGTCACTGTTTGGAAAAGAAAATGTAGTTTTAGATGTGAAGTTTGTTCAGACATGATTTCATAAACACTGATTATGTAGCGCTGATACTTCACGTGTTTCATTAATGATTCGAGCCTGATATGTGGAATTATAGGGGAAATCGTGTTTGATTAATATATTAAACATGCAGTAAATGTGCATGAAGTGCAGGAGAGCTTCTCCACAGATGTTTGTTTGGCTTTTTTAGAGACTTTTGATGACATAAAATGAGAGAAGAGAAAGAATTCAGACTATATGTAGGCTAAGTCACTATATATATATATATATATATATATATATATATATATATATATATATATATATATATCGATTTGACAGCACAGGAATGATGAATGTCTGAAGCGGTTTAATCTGCACTGAAGCGTCTCACAGAAGCTCTTTACGGGAGATAGAGTTCAGGTAACGTCTGTCCAGCGTCAGTCACTCATGAAACTCACTGACCGACACGAAGAGAGTGAAAGAGACTGAGAAAGACTGAAGTGAGAGACAGTAATCCAGTCTAATTCACTTTGTACAGCGCTGGACTGTAAGAGGATTGAAACATTTTCTAAATTAGATCAGTAAAAATAACAAACTGCAAACCAACACAGAGACAGACATACTGTAGACAGAAATATAGATATAGACAGATAGATAGATACTGTAAACATAAAGACAGACAGATAGATAGATAGATAGATAGATAGATAGATAGATAGATAGATAGATAGATAGATAGATAGATAGATAGATAGATAGATAGATAGATACTGTAGACAGACAGACAGACAGATTCTGTAGACAGACAGACAGATACTGTAGACCAGAGGTCTCAAACCCCACTTGACATTTAAGTTTAATGTTAGTGCGGCCCGTCGTTGCGTTTGCCGCGTTTTTTTTTTTTTTTTTTTTTTTTTTTTTATCCCTTATGGGCTACTATAGATAGTATCGTGACAGCTATACGGTGGGTTTGTTGTCATTAGTTGTCATAGCTCACGAACTTGAGCGCGCAAAATATGTGAGCGCGATATGTGAACAGGCCCAAGGCGAGCTACCAGCTACCACCACCGAATCAGGCCACAGCTACTGTTAGCTCGCGAGCGACGTGTTGGAGACCCCTGCTCTAAAACAATGTGAGAATAATCATTTTGAGCTTGTAATATGTGTTGTGTCTGAACGCGTTCAATGAACGATAGTTCATGAATTAGTTCATATTTTGGGAGAGTGCCGAAGTTACGACGTCACTCTGTAGGCCAAAACGCGGAAGTGAGTTAGCATTGTAGCATTACGGTTTTTGCTAAATCGCCTGAAATAAGGTCTGTGGTGAACAGAGCTTCTGGATATTTTCACATTTTGATCTATGAAATAGAACACACGGTTATAACCTGCTTGTGGTTTTTTAAACTTTATTGTGTCTGATTGTGTTTTTTTAAATCTTTATATAGGCTTCAAAATGTATAAATTTTGGATTAACTTGTAAAGATTATCTTGGAAGACAAAACGTGTAAGGGTCACAACCCTTTGTTAAACACAAATCTTATTTTTTGGGATTTTCCAAAAGTCTATGGGGAAAATGCTTTGCTTTTCGACTGAGGGAACCCATGCGCCGCTAGCTTCGAGTTGTCCTACAAAGTGACGTCATGTGTTGTGTCTGAACGCGTTCAATGAACGATAGTTCATAAACTTTTTCATATTTTGGGCGAACGTGAACTGAACGTAGCCTACAGTATTACTGCCTGATGAACGTTACAGTGAACTCGTTCATTGTAGTGTCTGTGAAGCGAGGAGCGAGGAGGCGTCGTGACTCATAATTTAAAAGGCTTTTATGAGGTCGGTGAGGATGGGAAAGTCTTACATGTCTTTGCAAACTTTCCCCGTCGATAAAATAATTGTTATCTGTGGTTGTATATGGGCTGTGGCAATAATAATACCATAATAATAAAAAAGAAGCTCGCAGCAACATATGGAAAAAAAGAACTATGAACTAGTTCATTTTAAAATTTGTGAACTGAACTTTTAACTAGTTCATGTAATGAACTTGATCCAACAGGTTGATAAGAAGGTTTGCTTTGATATGTGCAAAGTCAGTAATTTGCCTGAGACACTATACATGTGTAGAAAGAATTATTTGTATTTCCAAAGCAATAATTGTTTTTCTAACTATAATAAAAGGAAATGTGCCTTCCGAAAAAAGAAAAAATCAATATAAAATACTATAAAAACAAATATGACTATCACAAAGATGTTGTGTATAAGAAAAAGAAAATGAACTTCAGCTGTCAGAAGGACAGCTCATGAAGAACCAACCGTGCACAGAAAGGAATGTTCAAATTCAGAAGAAACGTTAATAATACAGATTGAGAAGATTGGATCAGTTGTGCTCCATTTTTGGAATATTTATTTATTTATTTTTATTTTTTTTTTGAATACTTGATGCGGCCCGGCCTGACCCAGACTCTATCTCCAGCGGCCCCCAGTTAAGTTGAGTTTGAGACCCCTGCTGGAGACAGAGAGTCAGAGGTATGAAATGATAATCATCCCACAGTGAACATTCAGCACTTTATGTAAACATTTACAGTAAGGTTGGGTTATATTAACATTAGTTAGATAATACTGCATTAATGTTTATTGTTAGTTCAAGTTCATTTCAACATTTACTAACACATTTAAATACTTTGAACTAACATTAATAAACAATTAACATTTGCATTTTTACTAACATGATAAATGTCGTAAGAAATGTATTGCAGTTTAGTGTATCGTAGTTTATGTTAATGTTAACCAATGAGAACTAAACGTTACCTTTCAATTCTACAGTTCAGAGATAAAAGCCAAATGTGAAATTATTATTATTATTAGACTGATGGAGATATTCGAGGATCATGTCGTGGGATTTGAAGTGTTGAAGCCTGACGCTGTGAGTCTCTATCATGACTTTAATTAGCTTGTGTTTCACAGGATGATGATGATGAAGATGAAGGTGACGTTTCAGGATCATTTCTTCAAATTAGGCTGCAGGTATTAAATTCTTCTCTCCCAATAAATCACACACACACACACTAAGAAACACAAACATTTAGAACCCTAATTTAAAAGATGTCCATATCTGTTTTTAATTTTCAGTCATTCTGCTACACTTGTGTGTGTGTGTGTGTGTGTGTGTGTGTGTGTGTGTGTGTGTGTGTGTGTGTGTGTGTGTGTGTGTGTGTGTGTGTGTGTGTGTGTGTGTGTGTGTGTGTGTGTGTGTGTGTGGTGCTGGGGATTAGGAATCGATTAAAGGCAAATTGAAGGAACTCCGGCTCTGGTGTGTCTGTGGATTAGAGGGAAAGAAATGAATCATATTTTAAGTCCTGAGAGTCCCTGAACCCGTCTGCACTGAACATGCCATATGCTGCATCCATGCAGATTATACACACACACACACACACACACACGTGTACACACATTCTCTCTCTATCTCTCTCACACACATAAAAACACTCACACACACACACACACTTCTGTGACTCTTCTTTCCATCTTAACATGTTTATTTCTGCATCTCTCTTTCTCATAAAACATGATGGACAAACACATGATGGTTTAATATGTGTGTGTGTGTGTGTGTGTGTGTGTGTGTGTGTGTGTGTGTGTGTGTGTGTGTGTGTGTGTGTGTGTGTGTGTGTGTGTGTGTGTGTGTGTGTGTGTCTGACTGTGCGCGTGCTTGCGTGCGTGCGTTGACCGAAACTAATAAAAAAAAATATCCAGCTCATATTTAATCATAAATTAAAAAAATATGCATAAAGAATAAAGAAATGCATAAAGAAAATAGAGCTTCTATTAGGATTGAAATATTTAGCCATTTAAATAGTTTGTGTTTTTTTATTATTATTGATAATTCATAAATGTATTTCATAAATAAAACACTTATGCATGCATGCGAGGATTTACTTGTTGTTGTGTATGCATGTGCATTTTTTTTCTTTATGTATTGATTAATTTGTTTTTTAACGCAAGTATGTATTTGCTGGTTATTTTTTGTGTATGCATGTTTGTTAGTTTATTTGTTCAATCAGTTATGTATTCATTCATTCGTTTACTAATGTATTTTTTTCTTTAGATATCTACCAGTTTTTTTTGCAAAAAAAAAACAAAAAACTTAATTAAAAATTAATCGACTAGTCCTGTATTTATGGAAAGAAAAGTTTATTTATAACTCATTGAAAGTCTACAAGACTCTAGAAGCAAACACAATGAAAAAGCAGGACATTACAAACAAAAACAGAGAAAAAAAAGTTGATTTTTGAAAAATGATGATTTTGTACAAACAGACATTAAGAGCGTCGGAGCCTATAAAAGCTGAAAACCCCTGAGATTGACGAATAAAACAAACACTGATTGTTGGCAGAATCTAAACGTTAAGAGTCAGAGAGTTTAATTCCATGCAACTCAACACATGATTTCATTCAAGTAAAGTTTGACATTGAAAAAAGAAAGAGTGTGTGGCGTCTCAAACAACCTAAATTATAATATCAATTAAAGAAACAGCTATAAAACACAAATGCATCATCTTGGGCTCTGTCGTCTATCTGACGCACAAAAGCACTTTCATCTCCGCTCTTCAGTATCAAAAGCAGCTTTTTCATAAACATATATGACAATATGTTTCTGGAGATCCTGAAGGATGATATAGTCTAATGATAATGAGACACCTCCTAAAACATCAAGACGCAGCCTTTGCAGTACAGATGATGAAGATGAAGATGATGATTGTCAGATCGAGGTGATCAACGCGCTAAACACTTGATCTTCGCAGTTGATGATCTACTATCACCTACACTAGACTTCATTCAAACACTCGAGAGTTGGTCATCGTCTTTAGAAACATCTCCAGAACTCAAAATGCCTCATTTGTGCACGAACGCTTCAGAATATGGGTTGGACGTGATCACCCTGATTCTTAAAAAAATAAACGAACCCTTTAACATTTCCACTGCGCGAAATGCACAATAAGAAGGGTTCGTCTACGCGGCGTGCGTTGCGTTTGAAGAGTGCACGGACTTTCCCTTCTGAACGCCCTACAGGACCTGGAACTTCCAGGAGTTTTGGTCCTTGTAGTCCAGACAATCCGCGGCGCTGAAGTTCAGTTTCCAGGACGCCGTTTGGTCTTTGTAGTCTAGGCAGTCGACGGCGCCGAAGCCCAGGGACGCGGCGCTGTAGCCCTGGGACGAGAGCGAGGCGGGCGACTGGCTGAGAGCGCCGCTCATGGAGCCGGTGATGGGGCTGAGCGCGCCCCCGGTGGCCGACAGCTGCGGGTGCATGGGAGACAGGTACGAGCTGCAGTCCAGCCCGGTGAAGTAGGACGAGGAGGTGGCGTAGCCTTGCCCGTACGCCGGGGCCTGTGTGTAGGTCATGGGGTACCCGCCGGAGCGCTGAAGGCACGTCCCAGACACCGACAGCGGGTCCGGCAGCGGGGAGATGGACGCCGGGCTCCAGATGGACACGGTGGCGCTGGTGGAGCTCGGGGTGATGGAGGTCCCGGGCGGAGGCGGGGGCGGAGGAGGGCTGTAGGTGGTGCCGCCGTTGGCCTCGCTGACGCTGGGCTCGCGGGCGGGTGAGGACTTCTTCTTCGGGGGTCGGGGTTTGGTCTGGCCGCTGGTCTGCTGCTGCTGCTGCTGACGGCACTTGGCGCGCCGGTTCTTAAACCACACCTGCGGAAAACACACAGTCGGTTACGCGACAGGACGCTGGGATGCCTCTCCGACGCACGGAAGATGCTCGTGTCTGGTATGAGTTGTTTTAAATATCATTTATTTTTGTTGCTTGTTTATATATATTTCTGATATACGTATAGGCCTTATTTACATAGCCTATACAGAAACACACACACACACACACATATATATATACGGTATATAGCCTATATAAACTATTAAATATAAACATTTAGATGCGATCAACGGATTTGACAGCACTAATTAATATATATCAGAAATACAAATAAACAGCAAACATAAATAATAGATTAAGTGTGATTAATCGATTAATCATCATGATTAATCGATGACTCGCGCCAATTCACGATTAATCCCATCTAACATAAAAGTTTGTTTAATATAATTTGTGTGTGTGCCTGTCTGTATATGAATATATATATATATATATATATATATATATATATATGAAGAGTTCAGATGCAAAAGCCTCTAAATGCCATTTGAAATTTTCTTCTAAAATGATCATTTTTATCAAGCTTGTATATTTAAGTTTAGTAATTTCACTTAAATTACAATTAATAGGTAATTATCATTGCCATTTAAGTGAAATTACTGAACTTACATATACAAGTTTGATAAAAATGATCATTTTAGAAGAAAATTTCAAATGGCATTTAGAGGCTTTTGCATCTGAACTCTTCATATATATATATATATATATATATAGCCTAGTCAAATCACGATAAGTCAATATATATATATATATATATATATATATATATATATTGATTTATCGTGATTGATTGATATAATAGCATTATATATAGGCGACACTTTACAAAAAAGGTTCCATTAGTTAACATTCCTTAACTAGATTGGTTAAAATATTACCTAACAACGAACAACACTTTTAAAGCAACTAGTAATCTTAGTTAATATCAATTTCAACATTTAATAATACAGCATTAAATTAAAAAAAAAGTAGGCTATCTGTTAATATTCCTATTTAATGGGACAGGGCTGACATGAACTAACAATAAACTGCTGTGTTTTATTCAATAATGTTAATAAAGATTAATATACACATGTTTGCTTATTGGCATAAATGCATTAACTCAAGTTAACTCATGGGACCTCCTTTTATATATTACGTGTGTGTGTGTGTGTGTGTGTGTGTGTGTGTGTGCGTGCGTGTGTGTGTGTGTGTGTGTGTGTGTGCTGGCCTCACCTGGACTCTGGACTCGGGCAGGTTGATCTTGAGCGCGACCTCTTCCCTCATGAATATATCCGGGTAACGCGTCTTGGCGAACAACGCCTCGAGGATGTCGAGCTGCGCGCGCGTGAACGTGGTTCTCTCGCGCCGCTGTTTGCGTGGCGTGTCTGAAAACACACACACACACACACCAACTGTTCAACATCTCGTCTTCAATGTGTATCTATCTGTCTGTCTATCTATCTATCTATCTATCTATCTATCTATCTATCTATCTATCTATCTATCTATCTATCTATCTATCTATCTATCTATCTATATGTCTGTCTGTCTATCCACAATGTGTTCAAAAATATAATTGTAATCGTATTTTTTTATTAGCCTACACTTGTAAAATAAAAAATGTATGTTGTATAAATGTTATGTTTTTACTTAGTCTATAAACCTTATAATTAATTAACCGGCGCGTTGTTTTTTACTTTCTTGAAATAATATAATATCTCTGATTCTGGATTAATAAAGGTTTCACTGCAATTGATTAAACGGGAAACTAGTTAATTAAAGCATTAATTATCATATCCGTGTTTTACAATGATAATTATTTCGTTTCATTTTGCTCAACGATTATCAGACTTTTACTAAATAAACCAAGCCTTCTTATATTTATCCCATTTATATAATAATTATCGAAAGATTTTTTATAAAAAAAAAACAAAACAATAGAAACTGTCGATGTGAATGTCCACATGCGTGTCATTTTAGTTCATCGCAATCTTTTTCATATTTTAACAGCTCATTTGAATGGATATTCGTTGATTCGACTTAACATTCGATTTTTAACAAATTAATTCGAAAAATTATATGCGTGGCAAATTTAAAATGAAGTTCGATATAAAGGCCTAATCTATAAACTTTATTTAGCTATTTTCGATTGCAGTAACTCTATTTAGTCATGATAGCCTATCTTTAATAAACGCAAACTATTTTATCATTCTGAGAAGCAAAATGGAGTGTAAATCATATTTATAAGTAGGCTAACTCATTCATTAAAAATGTTTTAATATAATGACGTTTAATTTCAGCACGCTTCTAAACGCATTTATATGCATAAATACTTAATTATGAGAGTTGTTTAATATAAAATAATATACATATTATATATTCAGCACTTTTACGCGCAGTTTAAATATAATTTTTACGCGCATTAAAATATACGAAGTTTAAATACCATAGCTTATTAGGCGCAGTTTAAATATGCGCATTAAATGTCACATCTGAACTATAAATTGCATAAAATCCGAAATGCATAAATAAAATAAAAAAAAATCAAACGCAGTTAAATAGTCACTTACTGGGATATCCGACGGCGGAGTGCAGGAGATCCATCCCGGTTCCGGACAGAGTCAAGCCGTTGACGGAGTAATGAGGCTGTTTCATGTAGGACATCATGACTATAAACTCTGTGTCTCTCTCTCCTCCTATCTCACTCTCTCTCTCTCTCTCTCCTCTCTCTCTCCTTCTGTCTGTTTCTGTCTGAAATGGATCTTTATTTTTACGCAGGCTGGTTGTCTGTTAGTTTCGGGTTATTTGTTCTGTGTTGATGTGAGATGCTGATCCAGCGGGCATCAGCGGTCGGTGTGTCCGGTTCGGGTGTTCGGTGCGCTCGGTCGCTCGGTGCGCGTGCCTCCGTCTCCGTCTGATAGTGTTGAAGTGAGGAAGAGGAGGAGGAGGCGGCTAATTAGAGAAGAACAAGACCTGAACAAACCCCTCCCACCACATACACCCCCCCAACCCCCCCTCTCCTCTCTCTCTCTCCTTTCAGATTCAAGAAGTTAGATATATTGCGTTTATGGGGATAAAAACACTACAAGATAATAATGTAGGCCTATTTGAATAAAGTAATAAAGTTACTGTGTTGTTATTGTTTGTTGCTCATATTATATTACTCCTCTATTTATTTCTAAACTATCACTCTTGAATTACAACGCAACAAATTACTACAAAATATAGCCTATTTTTGTAAAGGTTCCCGTTAAGTTATTATCTGGACATTCAAAAGATCCAGTTTTTAAAAACCGAATGCGAACGTTAAGGGATCATTCTATTTTATCGACATCCAAATAAAAAAAAATTTTTTTAAATAAAAACGTGTCTGTTTTTGTGCAACACCTTTAAAGACTTCACACGTAGCCTACTGTCAGTTTTATTGGTTATTCGAACGTTAGAACGTTCCATTTCGTTTCTTCAGGCGAGGAATGTTATTTTTGAATGTTTTCTGAACGTTCTGAAACTAGTAAAATTTAAAAATCGTTAGACGAACCAACTGAAAACAGGTTCCAGGAATGACGTTTTCAGATAACTTTGAACGAACGTTCTATTAATGTTATTATTGTTCATAACTCGGCACGTTTTTCGCTGTTTAAAGAATTCGTTCATTTCAAAGATGTGTCCTATTTATTTCTAAACATCTAAAACGTTCGCAGAGATGAAGAACGGGCCTGTCTGAGCTTCAGAAGTTCTGTGATGAGAAGAACTGAATCTCCGTTTAATGATCAGAGATGTGATGAACGTCTGGTCGATGTAAAGGAACTGTTATGCGCGTTCATGGCTCAGTTTCAGAGAGCAGATTACACGTCACAGTCGTACAAAAACACATTTCATTATTTCACATCGCTGCAAAATACTGAAATAATTGGAGTGTGTGCGCGCGTGTGTGTGTGCGCGCGCCCGCGCGCGTCCAAACGGGATTAAAGAAACAAAAGGACCCAGTGTTCCACAAATCCCACAAATATCCACCAGCATCTCTCTCTCTCTCTCTCTCTCTCACTGCTGTTTTTTTGTATTATAGTCTAATGAATGTTCACTTAAATTCATCATCTGTGTTTTATTTTATATTTAGCCTATAGGCCTACTGGAGATAAAGTAGGCTACTAAGATTTTTCCACTTGTTAATTACAAATATCAATAATAGGTAAGCTATACATTACTGATGTAATATTTTGTAATTAATAAAATCATTACGCTATTTTTGGTGTTTTACTTCCTCAAAACTATAAGAAAGAAAAATAATAGTAAATTGAAAAAATCCATCCGCCCGTTTCGTTTCAAACCTTTATATCTGAACTGTAGAGTTTATCTCCTGTGTTTCGTGTGTCTGCTGTAACTCAGGCTATCATTATTATTATATTGTGTTGACAGTTTTCCAGATTTGTGTGGTTTGGCGGGAGTTTGAGGCTCGTGGATCTCTCGGTATTGTCATATGATTGTGAGGATGTAAATGAGCGCGTGTAAAGCGGATTCTGCGCTTGTTAATTGAATCGGATTTCTTCTAGTTTCAAATCCACAGAAACTCTATAAGGGGTTTATCAGCAGATATAAAGAGACACAGACAGTATAACAGCCTCTGTTCAGACCTTTCAAATCTGTCATATCTCTGCCATATCCTCAGCAGGCCGCGTCTCACACTGCCGGAATACACGACAAGAAACCCGCATCTTCTTCTTCATCATCATCATCATCGTCGTCGTCATCATCATCGTCATCACAGGATTCATCGCGTCTGCACGAAAGTTGGTGAGTTGAAACTGTTTTAATTTGGGGGGAAACATCCAGAAACACACCTGTTCATATCCAGTTGACACACACACACACACACACACACACACACACTCTAGATGTCTAAAGCTATCTTTTAATCTGTACTATTATCACAAAGTATAAATATTTGATTTATTTAAGTATATAAACAAAAATAAATTGAAATCTATCTATCTATCTATCTATCTATCTATCTATCTATCTATCTATCTATCTATCTATCTGTCTGTCTGTCTGTCTGTCTGTCTGACTGTCTGTCTCTCAACCTATCCGTCTGTCTGTCCATCTGTCTATCTATCTATCTATCTATCTATCTATCTATCTATCTATCTATCTATCTATCTATCTATCTATCTATCTATCTATCTATCTATCTATCTATATGTCTGTCTGTCTGTCTGTCTGACTGTCTGTCTCTCAACCTATCCGTCTGTCTGTCCATCTATCTATCTATCTATCTATCTATCTATCTATCTATCTATCTATCTATCTATCTATCTATCTATCTATCTATCTATCTATCTATCTATCTATCTGTCTGTCTGTCTGTCTGTCTGTCTGTCTGTCTGTCTATCTATCTATCTATCTATCTATCTATCTATCTATCTATCTGTCTGTCTGTCTGTCTGTCTATCTATCTATCCATTTATCTGTCTATCTATCTATCTATCTATCTATCTATCTATCTATCTATCTATCTATCTATCTATCTATCTATCTATCTATCTATCTATCTATCTATCTATCTATCTATCTATCTATCTATCTATCTATCTATCTATCTATCTATATGTCTGTCTGTCTGTCTGTCTGACTGTCTGTCTCTCAACCTATCCGTCTGTCTGTCCATCTATCTATCTATCTATCTATCTATCTATCTATCTATCTATCTATCTATCTATCTATCTATCTATCTATCTATCTGTCTGTCTGTCTGTCTATCTATCTATCCATTTATCTGTCTATCTATCTATCTATCTATCTATCTATCTATCTATCTATCTATCTATCTATCTATCTATCTATCTATCTATCTATCTATCTATCTATCTATCTATCTATCTATCTATCTATCTATCTATCCATCTATCCATCGGTGGTGAGGTATTGGAATTTTCCATGTCTCCTGAGTGTGTGGCACTAGGACCCAGTGAAGACTGAAATTAAGGACACGTCCACCACATAAGAAGCTTACAGTATTTAATCTGCAGGGCCTAAAAAACACCACTCACTCACACAAGCACACAAACACACACACTCTCTCTCACACAAACACACACACACAAACACACACACAGCTTGTAAGGCTACATGCCTGGACCAAATTGTACGGTCACTGATGTGCAGATCTCGGCTCCTGTGGCACATGTTGTTTTTGTCATGTGTTGATCAGTTCTGATAGTTCAGTATAGTGTGTGTTAGAAGTGTGTGAACGCCTCTCTCGGGTCTCGTACAGAGAGAGCTGAACTCAGGCCCTCGGCACATTTCTACTGTATAAATCCTTCAGTAACATGTGTTTATTGGTTAAACAGATATTTCAATGGTCCTCTGCCATAGTGACAAAACAAAGTGCTTACACGATGCCAAAGGGACAAAGCATTTGACTGGTTAAATGAGAAGGAAATGTAGTTTTGGGAGAGCTATGAGCTTTTCCAGTAACAGATAACGGGTTCAGGTTGGGAATGCATACGGTATATCTCAATGAATGTGGTTTTGGATAAAAGCATCTGTCAAATGCATTCATGGGACACTTCTGATCTGGGAATCGAACCCATGGCCTTGGTGTTGCGAGCGCCATGTTTGAGCAACATTTTCCTCTGGACACTCAAAATGTTCAAGCATCAGCTGTAAATCTGCTCTAACACCCTATCATGGTATTTACAGCACTGGATACACACGCATAACACACACACACACACAGTTCAGCCGATTTGTCATAATATGCTTTATCTGAAAAGTAAGTATCTTACCTCGGGATAAAGAGGGGAAAGAGGCATTTGTAGTGTGATTGTGAGCAGAGGACGCGACAGAGACGGAGAGGAGAGAAACTGACGGACACTTTAGTGGAGTTTAGTGTCGCACAACTGAGGAGATGCTCAGAAGAACATGAGAGTGTGTGATACACTTGACAGGTACATGTGTGTGTGTGGAGATGAGCTGAAAGAAAAGGGCCCAGCGAGGAAGAGGAAGAGAGTGGGCGGGGCTTATCCTCCTCATGTTTCAGACTTGCTGTTTTGTGCTTTGTGTGTTTATTAGACATCTCGATGTTACGGTTGTGTGTGTGTGTGTGTTCATTAGTTAACATCACTGCAAAAAAAAAATGCTTTTCCTCCTTAGTATTGTCGTCTTGTTTCCAGTCCAAATATCTAAACATTTGAAGAGTTCAGATGCAAAAGCCTCTAAGTGCCATTTGAAATTTTCTTCTAGAATGATCATTTTTATCAAGCTTGTATATTTAAGTTCAGTGATTTCACTTAAATGGCAATGATAATTACCTATTAATTGTTATTTAAGTGAAATTACTGAACTTAAATATACAAGCTTGATAAAAATCATCATTAAAGAAGAAAATTTCAAATGGCATTTAGAGGCTTTTGCATCTGAACTCTTCATTTATAGATATTAAGTCTTGTTTTCGGGGTAAATTAATCCAAATGAAGTGAGTTTTTGCTTAAAACAAGCACAATTTTCTTTTTAGATTCAATTATTAGAAAAATTATTATAAAGATTATTTTTTCTTTATCCATTGGCAGATTTTTAGCTTTTAAACCAACAACTCACACTGTACAAATGAATATGCTTTATCTAATCAATAAAATTGTGGCAACAGATTACAAGCAATATTACTTATTAAATTGAACAAATTAGAATTGAGTAATAGTTAATCAAATTAATATTCTAATTAATTCTAATTTGTACAATTTAATTAATAATATTGCTTGTAATATGTTGCCACAATTTGATTGATTAGATAAAGCATATTATTCTTTCAGTACACTTAATTTTGATTAATTCACTTTAATATCTTTAAAAAAAAGAAATAATTTCTTGTCATTTTACTCATCTAGTAAATGCATCTTGATTTAAGAATTCTTAGATATTTGGACTAGAAATAAGGCAAAAATACTA